CATCTGGTGAGAGATATTTCTGCTGTCAATAACAGAAGGTGCCCTATCAAAACTTGCACCAGTTAATAGCGGTGTCCCCCAAGGCAGCATTCTAGGTCCCACACTTTTTATTCTTTACATAAACAACCTTTGTGATGATATTATAAGCAACTGCGTCCTCTTCGCTGATGATGTCAAACTATTTAACACCACCGACAATGCTGCTGTCCTACAAAGCAACCTTGACTGTGTGTCAGAATGGTCGAACAATTGGCAACTTCAAATCTCAACCAACAAATGCTCTGTCTTAAACATTGGCAACAAAAATCAGAACAACAAGTACAAGCTGGGTGGATACCACCTCATAGATTACTCTCACTCTGTCAAGGACCTTGGAGTACTCATCTCAAATGATCTAAGCCCTAGAGCCCACTGTAACAGTATTGCCAAAAGGCATTAAGAGTTGTTAACCTAATTTTGCAAAGCTTCTCCTCCAGTAACATTGTACTGCAAACCAGGGCATACAAAACCTTTGCCAGACCAATTCTTGAATACAGCTTGTCTGCCTGGAATCCACACTGTATATTGGACATTAATACGATCGAGCGAGTCCAGAGATATTTCACAAGAAGAGTTCTCCACTCCTCTGCCCGCAATAGAATCCCTTCTGCCACCTGGACAACTATGCTGCCTATGGTCTGACCTAAGCATAGTGCACAAAATTGTCTGCTACAATGTCCTACCTGTCAATGACTACTTCAGCTTCAACCTCAATAACACACGGGCAAACAATAGATATAAATTCAACGTAAACTGCTCCAAACTCGATTGCAGAAAATATGACTTCAGCAACAGAATGGTCAACGCCTGGAATGCTCTACCTGACTCTCTTGTTACATCCTCAATCCCCCTCATAGCTTCAACCTTAAACTGTCCACCGTGGACCTCACCCCATTCCTAAGAGGTTTGGGGTATGCATAAGCGAACCAGTGTGCCTACCGTCCCTTTCCTAGCGTCCCCATTTATTTATACTCATTTCCTATGTATAGGCATATACC